TAATGCCACCAGCTGATTTAAAGGTGGAAACAGTATCTATGTTTACAACCCTTTCCAGAGTTTTCCCATTCTACCCGAGCAATAATAGATTGTATTAATCCTTTTTTTGATAACAGAAGCCTTGAAAGTATGTCATTCTCATGTTGCAAAAACATCCCTAGCATCTGTTTCCGTCAGCGTGCAGCTATTGATTTAAAATGGTTGGTTTTATGTAAGCCCCCCAAAGCACTGCAGCCATGAAACCTGTTCTCCTTTCAGAATAAGACACACGGTTCAGGTCACAAAGTGGAACGCCTGCTGTGCTCCATCCTCTCGCCTCAGGGATGGTTACAAAAGGTCGGAGAAAAACCGTCATTAACTCCTCAAAGGGAAAAGGCTTTTGGTATGTCAGAACGACCTGTTAAATATGCAGTCCTGGGCCAGGTGTCAGCAGTAACTAACGTGATAAAGCAAATATTTAAACTTAGTTAAACATGCACATAACTCGATTTTACCGGTACAACATCGTACACAGAACTGAGGATTCATAGGGCAGCGAAGGAGTGGGAGCAGAGAGATTTAATTGGCTGAACAAGTGGAGAAATGTTATGTGGTGTGGTGAAATTGGTAAGATATAAAAAAAGATAGGCAGCCAAATTTGCAGTTATATCATCAGTAAGTAAAACACATTTTCTGTGCAACCTGTGTTACAAAATCTCAAAAGCCATATATTGAGTAAGTTCTTAAGGTTTAATTAGCGTTTTCTCCATTTATTATTAAAAGGTACCGACAAAGAACTACTGTACAGTTCAGAGTAGAAAAGCACAGCTGGAAAACTCCTAATTATAAAGTGCTGGTTTGCTTCTAAACTGTGATAAATATATTCACCTGCTGCAGTATTTCAACCTGTGGTGCACTTTTCAAAGCCTTAAAAATATGTCGCCTTTCTTTTACGCAGCACTGGGGAGATTATAGTAATTCCCCGTTGACCGTTAGCTACTCTCTCGGTGTTAAATCTGCCTAATTTGGTGAAATCAGAGAGCAAATCCCATGCTCTCACTCTGACTGAGGCGGCCGCCAGCTTTTTGCCTCTGCAGCGCCGGGTAATTTGACCTAATAAGGCTTCCATTAGACCCTTTTGTATTATGTCTGAAATAATTGTCTACTCTCTTCCAACCTTATGGTGTTGCTGTGGAAACTGATGAACACTTGACAGCTGTAAGGACAGCGTAACCATGACAACGCAGCCAACCCTCGTGCATGCTTGTGTGTGTGTGTGTGTGTTTAGGCAGTGCTTTGTGTTATTTTTGTCTTGCAGTGACATGCTATCATCAGCAAAGCACTATGGGAGCAGGCAGATGGAACCCTCCTGACTTTAAGGGCCTAACTTGAACCCCTTGAGATAAAGGATTGTTCCCCTCCAAAACACGAAGTAGTCTAAACCTTTCTTAAGACCAAAGAGCCTGATATGTCAAAACATGTCCTGAGGCTGCTCTCTTATTATCAGTCTGCTCAAATACTGCCCTCCCTGACCTGGTATTCACTACAGACACACTCTGTATTCATATCACAGATTTCCCTGAAACTTATGCAACAGTTTTTGGTCAACAGGTGGAATAGTAATCTACCGGGTGCTGTTATTGTTTTGGATGTGATATTGTCTGGCCTTCAGAATGGCATCGCTCTGAGTCTCTGTTTTCCTATATATCCTCATAAATATGTGTGTGTGTGTGCGTGGTGTCTTTCTCCATACCTGGCAATGTTTTCATTATATGGTAATTTTGTTTTGCTTGTTTCCCTTGTGGCAGTTACAACAAGGATTTTCGGCGGACATTTTCTTCCAATCGACTTTTTACATATATATCTTTGTATCTACATCTATCCAATGTGAAACACACACACACACACACACACACACAAACACACACACAACACCTAGATATAACAATGCCACAGTCAGTATCTTGCAGAAGGAGATACTTGCGGTGTCACCGAGTGTCGAGCTGACAGTCAGTGTCAGTCAGTATTCCTCTCGTCACGCACTGTCAACACTGAGCCGTGTGTGTGTGTGTGTGTGTGTGTGTGTGTGTGTGTGTGTGTGTGTGTGTGTGTGTGTGTGTGTGATGTTGTGTGTGTGTGTGTGTGTGTGTGTGTGTGTGTGTGTGTGTGTGTGTGTGTGGTGTGTGTGTGTGTGTGTGTGTGTGTGTGTGTGTGTGTGTGTGTGTGTGTGTGTGTGTGTGTGTGTGTGTGTGCACTCATTCATATGCTCAGCGTTTGTTTACTGTCTGGGAAGTCACCGTGGAGTTGAGCTGATACTCCTCTAAGCAGATGTTGATGGATGCAGCAGTGACTAATAAGTTGTTTGTATTTTTCACAACAGATTTGAATCTTAAAGAGCCGGTGTGACGTATTTAGGGGGATCTATTAGCAGACATTGAATATATGGTTATGTTTTGATTGGTGTATAATCACTTGAAACCAAGGATAATGGCGTTTTGTTACCTTTTGATTACCAAAACTCCCTGGGGAGTAATGGTAAAATGGACTGTTTTCCCTTACAGTTGCCCAGAAAAATACTTAATCAGATTAATGTTACATATCTTAAAATTGGGGATTAGCAGCAGGATTACAATGTTAGTAAAAAAACTAAAAATAGCATATTGTGTTTGTTGTAAGAGGATCAGACTGCCTGAATATGCTTAATGAAAAGCAGGTTTTCCTATAAACAAAATCATTTTTGATCCTAAATATCTTGGTTTCTCCTCATGACTTCTTGGCTTAATGGCTTTTAAATCAAAGGCCATTTGACTTTTTGTTGCATAGCCTTCCATTGATTTGCCACAAATCTCAGATATTTCATCAGCTTTACTGAGTGGCTGTGGTATCCCAGCATTTAACCTCTGTACATGATTCACACCATGACATCACATAGTAGCTGAATCATCTGCAGACGTTACAGTAAATCCTGGAGGGTCCCTCCCAGTCTGGAGTGCTGATGAAACTCAGAAAACCCACTTGCCTTTGACCTATCAAAGTCCATTCTTCTCAGGATTCAAATCAGCCTTAGGTAGATGGAGGCTAGGATACAAGTTTGAAAAATCAGTCCAACTTTGCAGCTAACGTACATTTCTAGTGATAGTTTATATCAGTATGTAGTGTCTCTACTTTAAAGAGTCCTCTCCTGCTGATGTTCAGGTGTATATCAGTGTGTAGTGTCTCTACTTTAAAGAGTCCTCTCCTGCTGATGTTCAGGTGTATATCAGTATGTAGTGTCTCTACTTTAAAGAGTCCTCTCCTGCTGATGTTCAGGTGTATATCAGTATGTAGTGTCTCTACTTTAAAGAGTCCTCTCCTGCTGATGTTCAGGTGTATATCAGTATGTAGTGTCTCTACTTTAAAGAGTCCTCTCCTGCTGATGTTCAGGTGTATATCAGTATGTAGTGTCTCTACTTTAAAGAGTCCTCTCCTGCTGATGTTCAGGTGTATATCAGTATGTAGTGTCTCTACTTTAAAGAGTCCTCTCCTGCTGATGTTCAGGTGTATATCAGTATGTAGTGTCTCTACTTTAAAGAGTCCTCTCCTGCTGATGTTCAGGTGTATATCAGTATGTAGTGTCTCTACTTTAAAGAGTCCTCTCCTGCTGATGTTCAGGTGTATATCAGTATGTAGTATCTCTACTTTAAAGAGTCCTCTCCTGCTGATGTTCAGGTGTATATCAGTATGTAGTGTCTCTACTTTAAAGAGTCCTCTCCTGCTGATGTTCAGGTGTATATCAGTATGTAGTGTCTCTACTTTAAAGAGTCCTCTCCTGCTGATGCTCAGGTGTATATCAGTATGTAGTGTCTCTACTTTAAAGAGTCCTCTCCTGCTGATGCTCAGGTGTATATCAGTATGTAGTGTCTCTTCATGTCTCCATGCTTTAATGTTCAAAAAGCTCTTTATTTTTCTCATACTACCTGTGCTGCAGCACCTATTTTCACCCTCTGTCTGAAACCAGAGCCCAGTCTGCTCTGATTGGTTAGCTGGCCGGCTCTGTTGTGATTGGTCCACCGCCTAGAGATGTCCCGCCCCCTTATCCCTATCAATTACAATGTGTTGGAACACACGAGGGTCCAATGGAGGCGTTTCGGGCTCGAAAACCCCCAAAAGCTTCATAGGGCCGTCTGAAAGTCATCCAATAGTGATGAGAAACTGAATGAAGTGTGGAGGAATTTATTGTGTTGCTGAGCAGTAAGTGTATGTTGCATTATTTAAAGCAGGGCTGCCTGTAATTGGCTCCTTTTGGATGTTTTAACCAGCTGCAGCATCGTAGCTCTAAGCCTTCCCTTCTCCCATCAGCGCTCTCTCAAGATTCCCAGAATCCTTGTTGCTATTTCCCTCTAAGGTGAAAACTGCAGCAATGCTCTCGGCTAATAAATACACCCCCCCCCCATGTATATACACTTTTAACAAACACAGAAAACGGTAAACATGAAAACCTTCAGCTCTTACAATAAGGAAACTGTAACTGCCACATTTCTAATATATGAAAAAGGTCACTGTACTCGGATGATTTGCAATAAGGCTGCACGATTAGGAAAATGGATTTATTGACCTATATTGCAATTGTGATGTGCTTTTTAGTGTTTAATTATTCAATGATACCATACAAAGGCAAATGTTCACTTACATGTTTAGATGTGTGTGCACTTGCATGACAATCTCATAATAAATACAGAAAAAAGTAACGAGAAAATGGATCAGCATTTCTTTGCTGACATACATTGTGTACTTTCCAGAGCTTTGTGAATGTCCTTCTGCTTGGGCTCTATAGGTTTAGTTACTGTTCAAAGTGTCAAACCCCTCTTTCTGGGGCTGTCAGTGTGTTGTTATTTTTCCTGACATGAAACCCCCCTGATGCTCCTGTTTGTGGCAGTAGAGGTGATAGACCGCACCACTTTTGTTGTGGGATTAGCAGAGGAGTTATTGTGCTTCATGCTGTCTTCAATAGCCGTAACTCTTGTGTTTGTTTTTCTTTGTAGTTGCAGTCCTTGGCCTGTTGTCAGAGCTGCGTTTGGACCTGGACCTGCACAGCCTGCTGTTTGGAGAGAGTGTCCTGAATGATGCCGTGGCCATCGTCCTGACACAGTGAGAATGTCATTTTAGGATTTGTCTCTGCCCTCGAAGTGTGATATATTTTCTAGGATAATTGTGTGGGAGCTCAGTCAGTCTTTTTGCAATTGGTGGCAAGGGGGTGGAAGTGAGGGGGAGGAAATGGATGCTGCCAGCTGTAGGGAAAGTGTGCGATTGGCAAAACCGCATTAGTGCTTTTAGATGCTATGCAGTGGACTGCGTAAGCGAGTTGCCCGTGGCACTGTCAGCATCTCATTAAAGTTCTCACTGGAGAGACTCACTGCTAGGGAAGAGACACGCTCCCAGCTAAGAAATCCACCTGACACAGATACTGTCACACTCGGACAAAATGCAGCATGAAACCCTCAGTGAGGTCGCCACCATGCAGTCATGCTTCCTTCATGCATTTCATTTGCTTCTCTACTTTTCCCTTTGTCCACGTTTGCACTCAAATACTGTATGCTTGTTTGTTTGTCCTGCTCACAAACATTGCAGCCATTGTCTGCTCTATTTACACATTGCTAGTGGATAAAACTATTCAAGTAGACGTTCTAACAGATGGCACGAAGGAGACAGAGAAGGGAGAAAACTCACACAGGTCCACATTAGATTCAAAGGCTTTATTGTCATATGCAGTGAATAAGTAAATGCATGAGTCTATACACATGGAAATAGAATAAGATGAACATTAAAGTCCAGGGACTGAATAGAGGTGGAAAGGAGAAGATATGTGTGCATATTGTGTTCACACAGAGCGACACCTCACATGCACACGTCTCTCTGTGATCGGCCCAGACAGACAGGCAGGTGGAGGGAAAAGGAGGCGAGTGTGAGGATTGTTGTGTTCACACTGTGGCTGCCGTCTCTTGTGTACATTGAAGTGCAGAGGAGGGACAAACGGTCACAAAGGGCTGCGTTTGTTTCTGGAGTGGCGTGACCGGCCTTCATGCCGTCGCCTGTCACTCGACTGGCTGCCGGTCGCCTGGCTCCACTCACAAAGCTGGCTCTTATTAGCGAGCCACGCGGGGCCCTGGCACTGGAATTTTAACAAGCTCCCCGAGCAGCTAAGCTTCACGCTGATGTGCCCTCTCTCTCCGAATGTCCTGCTCCAGAAAGCCCTGACCCAGACACCACTCAGCCAGGTTCACTGACATCTTGACAGAGATGGCAAAAGTACACACATCCTTTACTCAAGTAGAAGTACAGATACTCGTGTTTAAAAATACTCTGGTGAAAGTAGAAGTACTGACTAAACTTCTTTACTCAAGTAAAAGTAAAGAGGGCTTTGAAATGTACTTGAGTAAAAAGTACCCATAACTAGCAGCTGTTTTAAAGAGTACCTGACCTCCCTTTATATTAATAGAACAATAATGTCATTGTTAGCTAATGAATGTTTCCATGCTGAACAACGGCAACATGACAACGTTTTCATTGGTCCCTCTTCTTTAGAGAAGACCAGGAAATGATGGATACACGGATCGTGTTCAAATCAATAGGCACGCAATGACTCTAAATAATAATGATCACGCCACCAAACACACATTCAAACTAAAGGAACCAGCATGTTTGGGAAATGTGAGAAGTAGAAAGTACAGGTATTTGGGTTCAACATGTAAGAAGTAGAAAGTACAGGTATTTGTGTTCAAAATGTAAGAAGTAGAAAGTACAGGTATTTGGGTTCAACATGTAAGAAGTAGAAAGTACAGGTATTTGTGTTCAAAATGTAAGAAGTAGAAAGTACAGGTATTTGGGTTCAACATGTAAGAAGTAGAAAGTTCAGGTATTTGTGTTCAAAATGTAAGAAGTAGAAAGTACAGGTATTTGGGTTCAACATGTAAGAAGTAGAAAGTACAGGTATTTGGGTTCAACATGTAAGAAGTAGAAAGTACAGGTATTTGTGTTCAACATGTAAGAAGTAGAAAGTACAGGTATTTGTGTTTAACATGTAAGAAGTAGAAAGTACAGGTATTTGTGTTCAAAATGTAAGAAGTAGAAAGTACAGGTATTTGTGTTCAAAATGTAAGAAGTAGAAAGTAAAAAGTCGTCAGAAGTGTTTGTACTCCACTACTTCCCACCTCTGGTAACAGATACTCTCCTCAGAGGGTCACACTGACCGGAGACAAGCAGCCAGATGTAATGTGCTAACAGAACTGGAGGCTTTATTGTCACGGACGGGATAATAGATGTCCCCCTTCAGCTTGCTGAGCTCATTAGCGATAGCTTGATTGATTCTTCCCCTTTTGCTGTGCAGATTAAAGCATGTTGTGCTAGCTCAACCTGATGGCATGACAAGTGAAGTACACAGTTCATTTGTCAGAGATGTTCTGACATCATACTGATCTTCAAAAAAAAGAAAACTCCCTCTGGATGGATTTTAGCCTTTGCAGAACATTTACATGCACAAAACATATATTTAAATAGTAGCTGGAGTATAAAGTAAGAGGAGTTTTATTCTTGCTAACAGAATGTGTGTCCCGTAAAATGTAGGAGGCAAAAACAACAACCACCTCTTTCACATTGTTTAGCTGACTCGATGCTTTGACATTAATTTGGAACGGTCTGAGGGGAGGATAAGGGTAAAGAAATGTTGTCATAAGGCAGCCTGTCTCTGCTTGCTTCACCTCAGGCCCTCTCTCTCTCTGTCTCCCTCCCTCTCTCTCTGTCTCCCTCTCTCTCTCTCCTCCGCCTCTTTAATGACTTCGATGTGGAAGTCTCCCCTTCCCCCCTCAAAGTAAATATTTATAGTGGATAGACTCGCACGATGCTGTCTCTGTCAACAACAATAGTATTTCCCCCGTTTGCCACTAAGGGGACGTCTCTTTTAGGCAAATAAATCAGCAGGGATTGTTTTTCAGGGGGAGGATTTCACTTCTAAAGAAGGCTGTGTATTCTTAGGAGTGACTCCAATAAATTGCACTTAAGGGCTTAGCTCAGCATAATAAGCAAGTGAATGAATGCTCGCTCACACCAAGGACCAAGAGGGCTGTATTTCTGTCAACTGCATTTGTTCCAGAGCCATAAACCATGTTGACGTTTTAATATCTCAGCATCTGTAACACTCATATTCACTTCTGTTGTAATTGCACTGACTATTGCCTTCTTTTTGTTCCATAACTGTTTTTATTGTGTGTCAATTTGTCTTGCAGTGGCATCACCACCTACAGCCAGATGGGTGCAGGGCAAACCTTCGATCCCCCCTCCTTCCTCCTCTCTGTTGGTTATTTTCTTGCCGTGTTTGCCGGCTCCCTCCTCCTGGGTTTCACATTCACAATCACAACAGCCCTCATATCCTTTCATCCCCTCCCATCTCTGTGTCTTCACCCTAAACTCATTATCACCTCGGCATCCGCTGCAATCTATCCACTTCCTCCACTTGGTAATTGCCTCTCTAACTAAACCCCCTTACTGTACCACCTGAACAAAACTCTAAAGTGCTTCTGCGACACAAATGGTTGCAGAGAGCTCGTCAATCAAGCAAATCGCTTCTGATGAAATTTCGATGTCCAGCGTTTCCCTCTGATCTCCTAGTCACAAGACTTTAGGATGAAAAACGAGGATGTGTGGGGCGCAGCTCAGCTCTTATTTACAGGGACTAATCTCCGGGTGTGAGCAAAGCACAAAGTGAGCATTTATTAGATTTCGCTGATGTTAGCTACAGCAACAGCCTGCTCTTTTGTGCTTCCTCCTCAAACAGTAGAGACTCAGTTAGACTTCCAGTTATCTTTTAATTACTACCTGTCCTTGTTAATTACCAAAAGCATCCAGACTTGGGAAGGTGTTTTCATTATTGTACGCTAACTGTATCCAAGGGATTGCAGAATTAGCTGTCTTAATATTGTTATATTAACTGTACCTTGATCCTAAGTTTTTTTGACTTATACAAGAACTGAACTTTCAACCTGTGTTGTTCTTTCTGGAACAGAGTGTAAAGTCTTGCTGTGCGCTTTAACAGGAAGTTCTGCCAGAGGGGGAGCAGGAGTGGGATGTGGACTTTGTTATCTGTTGGTAAAGTTGCAGAAAAAGTCTTAAGACCCTTGGCTTACTCTGGGAGTGAACAGTGGCAGAGAAACACAACACTCTTTGTTCATGAAAACTGACACAACAGGCGTACACATGATGTTGCAACGCTAACAACAACTCCTGGCCCTGAAAGTTAGCCTGGTCACAAAACAAAGGTCCTGTTAAATAGAAGTCTTGACCTGATTTCTCTTCGATTACCTCAGTAAACATGTTCCTGAAGAGGTTTTTAGTCATAATAGGCCGTTTTAAGTCTTTCTAAATACAGCATTTTGTAAATTATGATCCTGTTTAGAGTGAAATGGTTATACTTTGGGGTGTAGCTATGACTTTTACAATGTTTCCTGGTAGGGTGATCTTGAGTCCGAGAGTGGATAAAAGCGGCTTCTCCCATTTTATTTTGGGGCACTGTTGGAAGATTTTAAAAGCCTGCTGAAGAGGACCTTAGGGCTCGTACAGGGACATAAAACGACAGAGAATCAGTGATATATGAGGGTGACAAACCGCCCTCAGATATCACAGGGATACAGGGAGCCAATGCAATGCAGATGAAACATGAGTCATTTGCTCTCTTTTCCACAAACCAATTGGTGTTCTTACAGTTGTCTACAGTCTACAGTTAATGCATCTGTATATGTTCCAACTATGTATTAGCCTAATGTCTAAAAGTGTACTACTGTATGATTTTCTTTAACTCTCTTTCCACCTCACCAAATTCACTCGGCTCCATGAGAACCCACTGCTGGAAACATCCGTCTTCTTCCTGCTGTCCTGGAGCTGCTTCCTCGCTGCCAAAGCCAGTGGACTTTCAGGTGAGCGCTGTATGACTGATGGTGTGTGTGTGTGTGTGTGTGTGTGTGTGTGTGGCCATGTTGATCTCATTGAGGTCAGATAGAATACAAATCCTGTTAGTGAACTGCTGCCCTCTCACCTTCTCCAATGAATGCTCGCTCACTCCTCCACAGTAGCACAAGCAGCTGTTTGATTGGCAACCTCTGCTGCTTCAATGCTTCTCCGTGGCCATTGGCACTCTAAAACACCTGGAAATGATTGTGTACGTTCTTTCCAGACATGACAAACACAAAGCAGGACACTTGGTCACCCTATCTGCAACATAACCTGCACGAGAACAGATGAAATCCCACCCCACCATTAGAGGAAGGTCTTTTCCTTTCTCCTGTACATGCATGTGCCATACCCTCTGAGAGTCCTTGCCGTTGTCGCGAGTCAATAAGATGAGAAAGTATTAAGCTCTCTCTTCTCCACAGGGAACTGCAGCTACCAATCCCATTCTGGGCTCAACCCTCATAACTCATTTTAACACGGCGTCCGCCCTCCTCTGTCTGAGTGTGTTTGTACCTTTTTAGTCTGGAGATCGCTCCACAGATAGGCAGCTAGCCATAAAAGGCATAATAGCATTCTTGCCCTAGCTGTTTGCACAGATTTCCTGGAAAGTCGAGTGTTCAGGGCACGTAAAATTGGATACACCATGACCTTGCTTTTGTTTTTCTTTATCTGCCACCCAGGGGAAGGTTGCATTTCTATTAGATTCATAGTATCTGATATGTTGGGTAGCTTGAAACCAACAAGTACTTGGCTCCGCTGCTTGGGTTTGTCCTCATCTATATCCTCCCAAACATTTATTATAGTGTACATGAGCACATTAGTGTTGCTCCTGCCTTGATTGTGTCAGAGGGATTCCTCTCATTGTGCTGAAGTTGTCCATCTCCCTCCCACTTGTCAGTACTCCCTGTGGCCTGTGGAGGAGGAGAAGCCGCTTTTAATGAAATAGCGTAACCTCTGTCTATTGGACCCACATGCAATGTCTATAAAGTACATGCTGCCCAGTGTGGGAGGCACATCGCAGCAAAACCTCAGGGCAGTTATTCTCTGATGGAGAGCCTCGGGTATTTTTAGTAGATACAACTCTCTCTGCTGTAGTGGTTCTGTTAGACTTAACCAAACTAATGTGTGGAGTGCTACTTTGTTCAAAGGCCTTAATGGGTCCATTTTGAAGCGGCACCTCATACAGAGCGGCCCAGTGAGCGATCCTCCCGGGTGCTCTTTGGTAATCAAAGCTCTTTCTGTCTCTGTTAATAGCTGGAGTTTAGTGAGGGTGTGCCTAATGACCCTCCGCTTCGCAGGGAGCCTTTGCTGTCATTAATCTTACGTTCCCTCACAACCCGCTCATTACGGTATGTGTTGCCAGGAAGATGAAGGAAGGGACTCTACGTGGTGGATGATGTGTGTACCTCTGTCAGTGTTATGTAAACTACGGAGGATGTTGAGGCACTGAACCAAAATGAGATCCAGTTTTTGGCTGAAAAGGACACTGTGAACGAGGATTACTGGAGCTCGCACAGGTCTGCATCTGTGGTGAAGAGAGAATAATGGATTGGCTTCACTTAGCAGCCTGAACCCCGGCCGGCTATTTGTCTCTCTGCTGCCGTATTTATTCCTGCCAGCTCTGTCCTCTAACTATTGCTCCACATCACAGTCATTTCACATTTCCGCCCCCCCCCCCCCCCCATCTTCTGTGATTCTCTTTCAAGGTAGAGGGATGTGAAATTGAATTTCTGCAACAAAGCACGCGGCAACAACCCACCTCTTCATGCTTTGCCTTTCAAATTCCAGATCTCTGGTCCAGAAAGCCTCCTCTTTACCAGCAGGGGCCCTTAATCACTCCCACCACTGATTTCCTTTCTCCTTCTGGACTTTTCTCTTGTCATTTATTTGCCTTTTTTATTCATTTCTGCTCCCCCACATCTGGCACAATCTACAGCGCTGATATCATTCTTTAGCATTTATCATTCCTAGAGCGTCATGTCTCTGGAGTAGAAATGGAAGTCATGACTTATGCCAGAAACATGCAGAGGATGCTTGAATTGGGTTGGACAGAACATTTTGATTTAACTGTTTATACAGCTGGAATCCACTGGAACAATAGGTGGGGTTGGGCCGGTATGATCTGCATTCACATACTTAGTCGTAGCACAAGGTTTCAATTCGATTCTCTGTGAATGCTTACATAGATTGCTCTGCCATCATTTCCTGGTTTAATTTGAAAATCATGTCGTTGAACTAAACTAAAATATCTCTGGCCGGTGGCTTTGATTGAACAATTGCTGGTTTCAATCACGCAGACAAAGACTCTTTGTCCCATTATAGAAACACCTCCAACAGCATATTCTCAGCATGAGAGGCCCCGAGGCTCTGTGTGTCACCCAGCACACGGATATATATATTCACACTGATTGCATAACGTGTGCATGTATCAGCGATTTGGCATACTTTGTACTAATTAGGTAGATACCGCATATGGTTTAACTCCCCCTCCATGAGTTCTCCATGAAACAAAAGTGTTGATACTCGCATTTAAAACAGATTTTAAAGGGGCCCTATTTACTTTTGGGGGATTTCCCTCTTCTGTAGTTATATAGGTTTGTGTGCATGTAAATGGTCTGCAAAGGATAAAATCCCTGTACATAATAGGCTAAGGGTGGGATATCTCTAAGTGGTTGACCAATCACAACAGAGCCGGCCAGCTAACCAATCAGAGCAGACTGGGCTCTGGTTTCAGACAGAGGGTGAAAAGAGGTGCTGCAGCACAGGCAGTATGAGAAAAATAAAGAGCTTTTTGAACATTAAAGCATGGAGACATGTAGAGACACTACATACTGATATACACCTGAACATCAGCAGGAGAGGACTCTTTAAAGTAGAGACACTACATACTGATATACACCTGAACATCAGCAGGAGAGGACTCTTTAAAGTAGAGACACTACATACTGATATACACCTGAACATCAGCAGGAGAGGACTCTTTAAAGTAGAGACACTACATACTGATATACACCTGAACATCAGCAGGAGAGGACTCTTTAAAGTAGAGACACTACATACTGATATATACCTGAACATCAGCAGGAGAGGACTCTTTAAAGTAGAGACACTACATACTGATATACACCTGAACATCAGCAGGAGAGGACTCTTTAAAGTAGAGACACTACATACTGATATACACCTGAACATCAGCAGGAGAGGACTCTTTAAAGTAGAGACACTACATACTGATATACACCTGAACATCAGCAGGAGAGGACTCTTTAAAGTAGAGACACTACATACTGATATACACCTGAACATCAGCAGGAGAGGACTCTTTAAAGTAGAGACACTACATACTGATATACACCTGAACATCAGCAGGAGAGGACTCTTTAATACATTGTTGTATATGTTATCCCTATATGTACCTTGTGTGTTTCTTTATCTTTCAGGTATCGTGGCGGTGCTGTTTTGTGGTTTGAGCCAGGCAAGGTACACGTTTCACAATTTATCCTCCGAGGGCAGGACCAGGACCAAGCAGGTGGGTTTTCTAGATAAAGATTGAGGCCTTTTCCCACTGTTGTTATCAAACAGAATGTTACAGTGTCCTCACTTTGTTCACATTTCCTTTTAATGCCAATAGTTGTGTCCTGGGTGCGTGCAAAAGCAATCATTAATTGCCATTAGTGCTCTGGTGGTCCAGTGGGTGTCTGTGTGGGAGGCCGGTCTCGACTATCTGCTTAAAAGGCTGAGCACAGATGGTGGCGAGCACGCTGTCATACTGTACAAGCCTCACAGAGGAGCAAATGAATCAGAAGTACACGTATATATACTCCTATATGCATTTATTATTCATTAACAGTGGAGCTAACGGTTTATCACAGAAGAGCCTTTAAAGTGGATTTGCTATGCAGAAGGCAACGCATGGTGCAGTGTATTTACTTGGCAGGATGCCTTTATCTACATTTCTATGATTTATATATGCAGCAGCCGCTCAAAGGACAAGACAAAGTGATTTTACTGTGCAGACAGTGGTTGAATAGCTAGTAGGAGAGATATGTTTTTCTCTGTGGCACCCATTGTCCTTGTGATGTGAGAGTCTTCAGGGAATGAACCTGCTTGTATTCAATTCAATCGCTTTCTTTACTAAGGCAACGCTGGTTTAACTGGTAAAAAACAGACGATAATAGCCTGAATCATTAATGAAATCATAATATCTGCTCTAATTTAATCCAGATACTACATAATGACCTTAATTCATATTTGATTTCATCTTATGCAGTGAAACCCAATTAAAGTGATTCAAATTCTATTTTTATTCGCAGTAATTGACATCCAAGCTCTTTGATGTGGTCTGGATCGTTACAGGATCTGTGGATGTGTGAGGAGAAAAGAGCAAATTGTTAGCCGTCTTTGTCTAGAAAGTTATTCTTTACCCACTTTTACAAAAAGCATATTAAATATCAATAATTTAACAAGAAAATAGTGACGAAATCATGTCTGCTTCCACATGCAATCCCATGTTAGCAAGCTGTAGATGTGTGCCACCTCAAAGGATCAGAGAGTAACATCAACACTGGATTTGACATGTGTGTGCAAATCTAAGCCTGTTTACCCATTTCAGATATGATCTGAGTCATTCACACACACACACACACACACACACACACACACACACACACACACACACACACACACACACACACACACACACACACACACACACACACACACACACACACACACACATTGTCAATCTCAAAATATGTTTGTACACACAGAAAGATCTGACTGTTTCCCACAGTCCCGAGGTATAAAATAAAATAAAGGATATACAATATATATGAAATATGTATACACATACCTATACCCCAACTTATTTACATAACTATATATACATACACATTAAAATACAAGAACACTCAATAATTACAAAAAAACACAAAATAACCGTTTACTTCAAAAGTAAGCTGGATATATATATAAGAAAGATGATATACATAGTGAAAATGCACACACACACACACACACACACACACACACACACACACACACACACACACACACACACACACACACACAACCTCTACCCTTTACCCCTCCTCATCTCCAATGACCTTCTCCCTCATTATCCTCTCAATCCTGTTTTATAATTTGCAGCTCTTTGAAGTCTTCAACTTCCTCGGGGAGATTTTCATCTTCAGCTACATGGGATATGTATTGTTGACGTTTCCTCGCCACGTCTTCAAAGCCCTCTTCATTACTGGGGCATTTGTATCCTTTTACTGTTGCATGATGGGGCATCTTTACCCCCTGCTGTGCATCCTTTGGATCCCACTCAGACCCCAGATTCGCTGTCTCTCTTCCACATTATGCAATAATCTGCACAATCATCGACTACTTATCTGACCAGGGTGGTTCTCCTGCTTCCTACCGTGCCTCTCTTGCTGCAGTGCAGTACAGTAATTCCCCCAGTCCTTTAGAAAAAACAAAAACCTCAGCACTTAAATTGTACAGGTTTGATCCGGTGAGCTCTGCAAATACCATTCAGTCGGTCGCCATCACCATCTCTGCAGATTTAGATGCTGCAGTGCAGCGTTGGCTCGCAGGAAGGACCTTTAATCAGGTCTTTAATTATTGTTGCTGATGCTTGTTTTCCATTCTAGCAGAGCTCAGTGGAATAAAGATGTCTGCCTGTGTGGAACGAGTTTACTGTACTTTAACATGTAGTGGATTAAGCACCGTTTCCCTGTTGAGGTTGAAGATTAAAGTGGACCTATCATGGTATATTTAAATGATATATTGTAGGGCCATACCTATATAAGGTATATTTATACGTTTCTGTTTTCAAAATACCAAACAGATCATGCATTTTAGCCATGCCTCATTTCGCTCAATTTGCACTTTTTTTTAGCTCTGCTCTGCAAGGGCTGATTCAGTGAGAACAGCACCATCTACTGGCCTGGCATATGTACTACAGCGTCTCCAGCGCTTTCGAACGGCAATGGCCGTGGCTGTCTCCTCCTGATTGGTGGAGTTGGCCCAATAGCCGTAGCGCCACCGTCCTGACGTCAGGACAGTGTTCAAATCTGGATCAGTTTTTATCAGATCCGTTGCAGCCCCTTTTTTAGAGATTTGGGTATGGAGGAAAATAGAGAGGGTTGTGTTTTCTGACACTTGGTGAGTTCCCTGGAACACCGGGGACAAATATTCATGTATAAAAGACGTACAAAAGTGCATTTTGCATGATAGGTCCCCTTTAAATAATATCAGTCCTAGAAAGTCTTCTGAAAGAGTTCTTATGGTATTCATAGAAGTTGTCATTTCAATGTTAACGGCTGATACGGCTTATACATATTTGCTTTTGTTGCATAGAAATGCAAGATATTGTTTGGCAGTTTATTTGCATTTAGCAGAAAATGTATTGAGTAATATTTTGTTAAATTTAACAAATTGTTTAAGAGAAATACATTAAGAGAAAATAATTCGTTTTTTGCCTTTTCTCGTATGAAATCTGTAAATATCACGTCAACCTCAGCTCAGCTATTTCAGCTTTTTTTCCAGTTTCTCCTAATGGAAGTTTTTTGGGACTTATTCATTCTCAACTAGTTGTTAATTAACATATTAGAGACAAATCTTATTTTGTATGAACAAGACTTCACTTTAAAATAGGGAACATATTCTGAGTTAGAAATACCTAATTTTTCGTTATTTTTGACACAATTAACACTTGTAGTTTCATAAGAGTATACCATATTTGTGTGGTGTTATTATGGGAGAATTACTATTCTTGTGGTACTGCTACTGCATATTGAGCATATTAAGACCAAAACTCATGTACAACCACTTCCTTACGTACAATAAATGAGTACTAATTAGAGGGTTATTGAGGAAAAACTCGTACTAGTACTGGGAGAATATGGTCGTGTAGAATAAGGCATTAATAAGTGTTTTATAATGACTAACAGAGCCAACATACTGCTAATATGCATGTTAATTAACAACTAGTTGATGGTGAATGTGTGTACCTTAATATAAAGTGTTACCATTATTAGTTATTTAGTAACTCATTTGGCTGAAGTCTTTATAGACCAGAATACAAAGCAGCCACAATACATGTTACGTTCAAACCTACAGTCTATGGTTCAACCACATGTTATAGTTTCTCTTTCTGTCTCCCAGCAGCTGTCTCCTATGAACAGCTGTTGTTGTCCATCAGCTTCTCGTCCTGAGGGCAGTGCACTGGTACTGATGGACTTCTGGCTACTGTTGTCCTTGTCTGAGAGCTGGCATGACGGTAGCGTACGCCTGAGGAGGGACCGGGCTCCAAGGGGCTGTTCTTTCACACTCCAGTGCCCAGATGGCCGGCAATTATTATTACAATCCATCTTCCACCATGGGGTCAAAGGAGACGCAGAAAGAGACGACTGGGCAGATTCTTTATCCCAACTCTCTCGTGTTCTCGTGCCAGCCTGGGAGGAAACGTTTGACTTGAGCTTTGAGCCTGTTTAGCTTTGTCCTCCCTGCCACAAAGAAAGCGTAGAGGGAAAACAATCTGGATATAAGCTGACCCGGATGTACACGCAAGAATAAATGGAGGTCGAAGTCCTCGTGTACGGTGCTCAAAGTGTCCATAAAAATGAAATATCCCCAGTGATTCAACCCCGGTTAATCGCTCCTCGGTTACGCAGTAGATTTTAATCGCCGTAGCTTTCAGCCTTTGCCCGTTACAATGGAGATGGGCTTTATTGGAAATGAGGCTGAGATGAAAGTGCTTAATTACCTCCATTCAAAGAGCTCAGAGGCCTTTTGATATGGAGAAATGACTGCTTTTGGGAGCAGGATATTGCTTTTGAAAATCCATAGGGTGCATGAGATCTAATATTGACTGCAGGGTGTGAGTGAGCTTGTTTTAGTAATAGCCCTGTCAGACTGCGGTCCCCTGCCTAAAATATTAGTCCCTTATTATTTCAGGCATCATAAGTTTGACTTACAAAGCTGAAATCACATTAAAGAGGACATATTTTGCTCATTTTCAGGATCATATTTGTATTTAGTGCCTACCTCTACCAGGCTCACCTGAGTTCCTCCATCCTTCCCTTGAATTAGGTACAAGTAACAAGAACCGAGAGGAGGTTTTAAGGGGCCTCTTCTTAAAGTATGACAAAAGATGATTCCAGGTACCTTTGTCCCTGATAATTGCACAGATATCCTCGTGCCCAGGACACTTAGCATGCAGTCCCTTCCTATGTGCAACATCAAAGTGTGTGTGCAGGGCAGAGACAGCTGGCAGGCCCTGATTGGCTTCATGCCTCGGCATGGTGCCACACTGCTGTGTTTGCATACTAATCAGCAAATAGTCCACGATTATTTTTGTATGTGTGTGTGCATAAATGTTGATATTAATGGGTTGACTGTTACAGCCTGATCTCGTGCTGAATAAGTACTTTTTATTAAGGAATTAACTGTGAAATCGGGACAGCTTCACTGAAAAAGTAACAGGTGTATGTCTGGAAAATGATGCTAAATAGTCATTTGTCACTGTTTCTTCAACCTGTGTGTGTGCGTGTGTGTGTGTGTGTGTGTGTGTGTATATTCCTTAACCTGTGCTCAGCTCTCCATCTGTATATCAAGAGCCTGTAACATCTACCCGCTCTCGTTCCTCCTGAACCTGGGACGCACCACCAAGATCCCGCGCTCCTTCCAGCACTTCATGGTGTTTGCAGGTACAGTTCTTGATAATACATATTGAAAAATCTGTCTGACAACATCTCTTGCTGCTAATTTGATGAATGTTGGGTGATAATATTGCTGCTCTTAAACCTCCACAAATTCCACTATCTTCTAACTCACCCATTGCTTCGCTAATGCTCGTTTTTGTGTCTTTATTTTGTTGTTATTCTCTGTGAGCTTACGGTATATTTCTTGTCAGAGATCGCTGATTTCTTCCTTCAGTCATTAAATGTGCATTTCTGCGTTATCCTGTAGCTCCAGTGTCCCTGTTTGCCCTTCCTAGTATTCGCTAGATCTTACCTTTGTTGATTTTCCCGTTTTTCGATAGATTCCCCCACTCATAGCTTACTTTTTTATTGTTGAGTAGTTGGATTTTGCAGGTTTTTATGAACCAATCTGAGAGAGTTGCTTAACTTTAACCCGCTCACTCCACCATCACACCGGAAGTCTATGGAAAACCTCCACAAAAAACAACTTAAAGTGGACCTATCATGCTATATTTGAATAATATAGTGTAGGACCATACCTATATAAGGCATATTTATACTTTTTTTTCTTTTCAAAATACCAAACAGATCATGCATTTTAGCCATGCCTCATTTTGCTCAATTTGAAAAATGTTAGCTCTGTTTTTGCAAGGGTTGATTCTGTGAGAACAGCACCACCTACAGGCCTGGCATATGTACTACAGCGTCTCCAGCGCTTTCGAACGGCAATGGCCGTGGTTGTCTCCTCCTGATTGGTTGGCCCAATAGCCGTAGCGCCACCGTCCTGACGTCAGGACAGTGTTCAAATCTGGATCAGTTTTTATCAGATCCGTTGCAGCCCCTTTTTTAGAGATTTGGGTATGGAGGAAAATAGAGAGGGTTGTGTTTTCTGACACTTGGTGAGTTCCCTGGAACACCGGGGACACATATTCATGTATAAAAGACGTACAAAAGTGCATTTTGCATGATAGGTCCCCTTTAACTATTATATTTTCTTCACTGCTTGCATCTTATGGCTTTAGTATCTACTGTGGAAGATGATTGAGTTGGTGTTTGTGTTTGCAAAATATCTAAAAACAAAGACAGAGGCCATCGTCAGGCAATAACATTTAAAAAAAAACATATCTGCATTAATCAATATTGTCATTTCCTAAGATTTGATAAAGGAAACTCACTGTAGGCCCTTTTTCTATTTTTGAATGTGTATTTCGGAGAGGACTAAATACAGCATCACTTTATAGTTGGAGTGGTTGAAGCTCTGGATGCTTTGATGATGCAGGAATAGAGGATGTGAAGTGATGTGGGGTACAGGATGCTTCGCTGCTCGCCTGACCCACTTTACCTCTTACATAAGACGGGTTCTTTGTAAAAAAAAAAAAGCCCTTGTCTTGCTATTTTAAAAAGCTTCCCCACCACCACCACCACCTCCCCCAGCTGTTTCTCGTACCAGTCAAGGATTTGCCTTGAGAATAATATTGACTTTGAGTATCATGTCACTTCCAGCTAGTTTGTGATCAGCTGGTCAATGATAGTGATAGTGATAGTGGAAACAGATCAGATCAGATTACTGTTACATTTTGAAATGTTGCTGATTACAAGCAGGTGTTACTAACAACCTAAAAACATCATATAGTGTTTGTTGTAAAGGATCAGATGTTATCTCTTCTCTGTAAGCTGTGCTGTTCTGTTGGATAATACTTTCAGAGAAGAGATAACATCTGATCCTTTACAACAAACACTATATGATGTTTTTAGGTTGTTAGTAACACCTGCTTGTAATCAGCAACAACTGTAGTATGTGCTCATGTGTTTCATTGTTGGTGTATAGGCTACTAAAAGGCAGGTTTAATGATAAATAAAATCATATTTGATCCTGAATATCTTGGTGTATTATTTTCTAAGGTCACATGTTTCTGTTCCTTGATGGATGGCAGTAACACAGCTGTTTTGTCTCAGGTTTCAGGGGGGCTGTAGCCTTTAGCCTGGCTGTGAGAGACACATCCACAGAAGCGAGGCGCACCATCCTCTCCACCACCCTGCTGCTGGTCGGCTTCACCACCTGGGTGCTGGGAACCTCCGCTGATCCCATGCTGCACCTTCTAAACATCAGGTGTGTGTGTGTGTGTCTCTTTTCCATCATTTCAGAATCAGAATCAGAAAAAGGTTTATTACCAGGTCACAAGAATGTTAAACACCTGAACTTTTGAAAGAACATACATAACATTCATCTGTTTGCAACTCACATATATCAATATTCCAATAGAGAGGCGAAGTCCCTCCCCTTCCGGTGGACCTCCATTGGACCTTATTTCGGAAAAATTATGTATTGAAGTCAATGGAGAGAGAAAGATTATCTTTCGATCCCGTTTGAATTGTGCCACGAATTACACATATGATGTTTGTCAATTTAAAAGATAATTTTGCAAGTAAAAAAAAAAAAAATGTGTCGTAAAACTGTGAAGTAACACATTTGTTTGTGTGAAACGCTCAATGAACTACATCTCTGGTCAACAACACACGTCACCAAGATGGCCGTCACTACTGTCTTGTCAACAAAACGATTGACTACCCTCACTATCACCACAATGAAACACGTCCTGAAGAAAGTCATGCAAAGCTGCCTGCCTGCCTTCCTTTGATTCTCTCTGAACTGCCTGGTCTTTTTAATGTTTAATGTCAACCATTTGTGCAGATAGCATGAAGTAGAGAAGATCGCTAGCGTTAGCGTTAGCATTTCTCCCCGGGCTTAAATGGTGTATTATAGAATGATCACACCGGTGACAGTACTCTTCAAAGGGTTCCACAATATGACTACTACTCTTACTGTTTAACATTTTGGGTTACTTCATGTTACTTCATGTTAAGGCTAATACAAATGACAAGGCTGTAATGCTAACTAACGTGCTAGCTACTAGCTAGCTTGATCCACACACTCCTCTTTCATCAGACGGGAAGCGAAAGAACGAGCAAGACCCATTGCTGGTATAATAACAACCTGGTACTAAGCACACAGGCATCTTGTTAAAGTTATCTTATCTTAGCCAGCGCCATATAGATAGATTCTATCTATATGGCGCTGATCTTAGCTATCTCTTAGTGGAGGAAAACAATTGTGACATCACTTACGCGACTCTGGGATTTGTAGTCTTTCTAGTTACGTATTTTTCATAGTCTTATATTTCAACAGTTTTACGACAAACTGTGACTTTTTTAACATGGAAATGATTTTTTAAGATTGACAAACATCATATGTGTAATTCATGGCACAATTCAAACGGGATCGAAAGATACGTTTTCTCTCTCCATTGACTTCAATACATTATTTTTCCGAAATAAGGTCCCATGGGGCGGAAGTAGATGGGCGTGACTTCGCCACTCTATTACTGTAGACTATTCTGCTTATGGCATCAGTATCTACTGTGCATGATTAGTGAGTTGGTGTGTGTTTGCAAAATAAAGACAGGGGCCATCCTCAGGCAATAACAATGCACTCCTCTCATTAAAAACAGTAATTTTTGCATTGATCAATATTGTCATTTTCTAAGATTTAAGAAAGGAAATTCTCTGTAGGCCTTTTTCTATTGTTGTGTCTGTATTTGGGAGTATGTTCATGTTCACATTCAGCCTCTCCCTCTTCCCCTGGCGGCTCAGGCACTTAGCCCATAGTGTGCCCCGCTCTGCCCTCTATTAGTGACTGGTACCAGGGTTCAAGTGGGGCTACAGGTCCCTGAGAGAGAAGAGAGAGAGAGAGAGCTCACTACGCTGCACACAGAAACCTGTATTCGTACCTTATTGTTCACCGTATAAAGAGAGTCCCACACAAGTCTGCTCACTATCTGTGCTTCAAGGCCAGTGGGCGATAATTATTAGGGAGTGCAGAAGAGGCGTGAAGGCAGTAATTAGATACTTATATTATTAAAGTGTAATCTGTGGCCCAGATCACGGTGGTGTAATTGACTCCCACAGACTTTTGAGGCAGGGCTTCCTTCAAGTTCTTCTTCTTGTAAGAGAAGAATATGCATTATTTTCTGATAGAAAAACTAAGCCATTGCATTGGTGTGAAGAAGCGGGTTTACACAGTTACAAAACACACACAATGAAGCAATTTGTGAAGTGAAACAAAACCTGGAGTCGCTCTAGTCAATGAATTGCAGATCGGTTTTTGTAATTGAATCAGCAGAGTTGTTTGTGTGAGCTTTTACAGCCAAACACGCTTCATTTCATTGTAATTCAAAGTCAAACGTTTTATGAACCAGACAAAGACACAGAATCTGTGCAGCATCCCTCAGGGCACTGGATTGGTTTCGGAGAACACAGTTTTCTGTAGCACTGGAGCAGCTTCAGGAGTTTCTCTTGATCCTATCTTCACCATGACTGAACTGTGTAACGATCCAGTGCTCACAGATTATACGTACTTCCAAAAGGTGGAAGATACGAGAACTTATTTTAAAGAGACTGCTTTTTGGGCTTTCCTCTGTGTTCACTGGAAAAAATGCTGCTCCGAAAACAAGCTGTTTTCACTTGAAATAAGTACAAAAATCTGCCAATAGAACAAGTGAAAATTAGCTTGGTAAGATGTCTTGAAATAAGAAGGGATATTTCGATAAATCACATCTTGTAATTAGCTGGAGAACTCATTCTGAACTATATTTGACCAGAATCAGGACATTTTGTTACAATATAAACCACAAATGCTCAATTCTGTTTTCTGATGTTAGTTAGTTGGTGATTTCCTAATAAATATGTATGTGTTTCCTCTGAGATACGACTCAAAATAATATTATTTGACTTAACAAGATGATGCTTTGTCTAAAAACAAGACCCGATATCTCACTGCAGTGTTACTTCTGAAGTTATTGTGTCTTATATCAGGTGGAGAGACATGTTCTGACTAGATATTAGACGAATATCCTTGGCAAGATTTCGAGTTTTTGTAGTGTAATATATGGTCTGAAAAAGCTATAGTCCCTGTGTTCCCTTCGCACATGATCACCTGTTGTGAGTAATCCGCCTCTATTCACTGCAAACGTCTTCCCCGCGGCACTGCTCTCTTTGTGGGAAGTCTTTCCATCTCTCGGGAGCGTTATGTTTCGGAGAATCGCAGTATTTTTCCTCACATCCCAAACTCTTACCTTATCCGATAGAAAGAAGTGAAGGGACAACTTTGAATGACTTCATTTCGCTGAATAATACATTACATCTCTTCACTTGAAGCAAATTTGTCTTCCATTCAATCTCAGAAATGGCTTTTTTGGAGGAGCCTTTGAAAGTTTGACTCCATGTGAAATCACTCCGGTCTTTCTTATTTAGTTTTTATCTTTTACCCCTGAAGCTATCTCAAAAGACTTACTGCAAGAAATGGTTAAGATTATCGGTCTCTTTCAGTCTGACATACATGCGTTGAATTTAAAATACTCTTTGTGCGGTGATGTGATTGGCGGGTTTAGGTAGATAGAAAGTTCTAGTAAGTTCTTCTTAAAGTAAAAATGGGTCGTAAGTTCTGGAAAAATACATTATTGTTGAGTTTTCGCAGATGAACATGAAAATATTCACCAACTTTACGAAACACATGCAGCGTTGTAGTATGTTTGCACCTGTCGGCCACCGTACAAATGCCATTAAGTTGTATTATATTCGAGAAAAGGCAGATATTTTACCACTGACACTCGCAATAAAACAACCATAATCAATAAACACCACTACAGGTGAGAGGAAAATGATGATTTTGCTGTGAGCTGTCCCTTTAAGACACACACACAGAAACACATTTATACAAACACCCTCAGAGATGCATGTCGTTCAGAGGTTAGCTGTCTGTCAGACAGTGACATTGATGTGCTTCATGTTTAGATAAATGTTGAAGGCTCAAACTAGACGACAGCTACATAGAAGGAAACACGCTGACTCTGTTTCCAGTCACACATCAGATCCTTGAACACTTGACAAAATGTTCTTATAAAGCCCAGACAGTCTGCCTCTCCTCGACGACTCCTCCCGTCTCCTCTCCATTTCAGTCTCAATTTCAAGGTGCATTATTGCCCACACTGGAGACTTTCAGCAAGGCGCCGCAAAAACAGAGTGATTTTGTACACTTAAGTGCATACAGTTCTGAAAATATGACTTTCCTGTATTGTGCAATTGACAGTCATATTCAATTTATTTCAACATAACTTTGCATGGTACTGTATGATGGTAATTTCTCTTTGCTCTGGTTCTCGTTTTCTCTTCTGCGTTGTCATGCTTGTTGCTTAAGACCAATCCAAACCGCAAGGGACGTTTGCTTTCACTCTCACACACACACACACACACACACACACACACACACACACACACACACACACACAATCACACACACACACAGAGACACAGACACACACACACACCATCTCACACACACACACAGAGACACAGACACACACAATCACACACACACACAGAGACACAGACACAGACACACACACACACACAGAGACGCACACACACACACACGCACACACACACAGAGACACACACACAGAGACACACACACACACAGAGACACACACACACAGAGACACACACACAGAGACACATACACACACACGCGCACACACACACACACACACACACACAGAGACACATACACACACACACACACACACGCACACACACAGAGACACACACAGAGACACATACACACACACACACACGCACACACACACACACACACACAGAGACACACACAGAGACACAGACACACACACAAACACACACACAGAGACACAGACACACACAATCACACACACACACACACACACACACACACACACACACACACACACACACACACACACACACACACACACACACACACACACACACACACACACACACACACACACACACACACTAGTCTGTAAATGATAGCTTAACTCTGCAGGAGGTAAAAACCATCTCTGGAATATATGAAACCTATCTGAGAGAAATGTGTAAAAAGAGTTGCAGCATAGTGTAGAACAGAGCAGTCTTTTATTTAAATGTACTTTAATACTTATATATTAGGTTTTTTTGCAATGAGTTGGTTTGTTTTTTCTGTGTGTTGTATTTGGCGCCAGACATCTGTTGCTAATG